CGTCAGTAAGTTTTTTCATCTTTTCACGGTGTATAATTTACCTTTTCATCATTACTGTAAAGGTTTAAGGTTAAATAATAAAATTCACTTCCCAATTACTTACCTATTGCGTTCAGGAAAGGAGCGTAGAAAGCATTGACTTTAAAAGGACCCTTAGTCCATCTTGAAAAATAGAAATGAAACAATACATTAGAAAAATGCTAAAAAGGTAGGGGACCAGGACCAGGACCAGGACCTAGACTCGGATAGAATCAGCCTCAGGTCTAGTTCCATTTCTCGATTTATTTGTAAACGTAAATGAATCCAATGACAAAGGCTTTTCTTACTCTTTTTTGTCCACTGGACGCTCAAACTTTTTTAAAGTTCTCATTCTGAAAAAATGATTGGCGGCTTTGATGTTGTCCATAAGGCTGTCTGTTACGCTAAGCTGAAGGATAACAAAGATAATAATAAATATAGCCATCATGTCTCTCTAAACTCCAAGAGGATTTCCTCTCAGGTTTTCTCTTTCTCCGCAAACTCTAATTAACTCAATAAATTCCAGTCATGTTCATCTTGAAAAGCAGCCCAGAGGTTGTTTCAGGGTTCGATGAAATTTGAATATTTCCTAGCTACGCTAAAAAGATAACAATTATAATTACCGAATCATACTGTGCCTTTAGTTTCGCAGGATCCTTGATGGAAGCTGGATATCCAATTTCCTCAACTGTGATTGCCAAAGCCTATCAAAGAATAGCATTTTATAGACAACGGAGAGGTAAAAGCTTGAGATAGAGGAATAGAAGCTAGATGATATTAGATGCATAACAGTAAGCTTCAGCATAAGTAATCTTTGCATGGCTCGGAGTGGACCGTCCTTGCCTATCAAAGTATATCATTTTAAAGCAAACGAAGAGGGAAAAGCTTGGTGTAGCTTGAGATAGAGGAATAGAAGCTAGATGATATAAGATACATAACAATAAGCTTCAGCATGGGTAATCTTTGCATGGCTTGGAGTGGACCGTCCTTGCCTATCAAAGTATAGCATTCTAAAGAAAACAGAGGGAAAAGCTTGGTGTAGCTTGAGAGGAGTATAGAAACTATATTTAGAAAACTCATTAATAATTCATGAGGAAAACACAATAGAAATCATGACCATGAAGGTGATTTTATATCTGATATAGATTCGTCTTCATTTGCATAAACTTTAACTTGGATTTTCTCTATCATACTTGGTTCATTTCGTAAAGAATTCAGTACAATATGAGAACATACATCATGAGTTTTCTAAGCTGTTCAATAAACTCGCAGATCGTGTTTTATCGGGTCTAAAACCACTCGGCTACGCCTCGTGTTTTATACCCGATAAAACACTCTTGCTCGTTTATTAAACAGTACATAATGTGATTTATAACAATAAACTTCAGCATGGGTAAATCTTCACATGGATCGGAATGGACCGTCCATCTATAACAAATATAGACTGCAGAATAGCTTCTTTGCCTTTCCGGGTCTTACGGTACTTATGTCTACTATCTTCTACTATTGTTACAATACTTTGATACCTTTTCCTTCGCCTTCCCCTGAGTTTCTTTGTCCATCCAAGTTTGACTTGATAGTTTCTGGATGAATGAAGTTCGAACGTTTTCAATCATGTCTTTGATCTGCAATGAAAGAGTCTGTATCTGAAATAATTGTTTTGGTTTGTGACTTGAATATTATGGTAATGAGGTAGAGTCAAGGAAACATGATAGTAAAAATAAAACAATAAAAAAAAAAAAAAGCAAGAAAACAAAGATAAAACACCATTTCGTACGCGCTCTTTCATTATAGATTGCCCCAATAACAACAGCAATCAGATTCCATCATTCTTGTGGTATCGGGTAAGCACCTCATGTGAGTGGACTTCGTTAGGTCTTGCCGTCAATCCTATCGCTTTTCTTTCTGGTTTTCGTCCCTACGCAAAACGTAGCCAGCTAAATTCATGTTCCACTTAGTTAGCTTTGGCCTTACTTACCGCATCGGCCAGGAGGGTGTAATTGAGAGTAGTCATTGATTCTAGTGGTATGCCTTGCTCTCAAACTACTCTATATTAATACAAAATTACGTAATACTATACCTGAACTTTAGCTTCATCATAAAAACGGACATCCACAAAGAGTAGGCCGAGTGGCATGTCAAAGGGATCTAACATTGCATTGATGCACTGCTTCCATCGTGGTATGTTGGTGCTTGTTAAAAGATCGCCATTTGCAGGTCGGTATAGATCGGGAAGACCACCAACGTAATGACGGACAACTTGCCACATGATGTAGTCAGCTATAAGTGTGTGATTTCTATGAAAAGTAAAAAGCAAAAAGATAAGTACCTCAGAGGATAAAACAATGATGGATGGATGGAAAGATGCATGGATCGATGTAATATAACTCACGTTTTGTTATACAAAAGACTAATCTCCTTCAAAAAGACTTTATGTTTAGGAACATCAAGCATTTTTTCATTTCCAGTTAACTGTCTGTCAAACAGAACATCCAAAACCTCCTTAAGCACAGGCCACTAAAACAAAAGAGAAGAACTGTTAATTGAGGCATGTGTAATCAAAAACAGTTCTGTTACTTTAGTCTTTAAAATAACATGAAACAACGATTTGCTTGCCTCCTCCTGACAACAATTATAATTATTTGCAGGTTATACTTTCAATATGGATAAAGTCAAGAACCCTTAAATTTTGACAACACTTTTGCAGCAATTTAGTCACATACTAAATTAAAACGAGTATATAGTGGATCGGCGGTAGCAATATTCATTGAACTGAGCTGTAAGTGCTCAGTCAAAATTCGAATCTTAAAAGGGGCAAGAGAAATAAATAAACAACTCTTTTCGAAACAAGAATGGCACTTAATGGCACAGTAATGATTGCTCCATCTATCCAGTAGTAATTTACCGGAAACCCAGTCACTCTGCTAAGCCTAGAAAGAGTTATTGTCCAATCGTCTGTATTTCTTCTGCTTCTAGTTGATGTGGCAATGGTTTTGATATAATCAGTTAAAGCAGCATCGAGGCTCTTGCCACTCACAATCTAAAAGTATTCAAAAAGAAGTCGTTCATGTCAAGACAATCCAGATAGTGTCATTCACAAAGTAAGAAAATGCCGATGCC